AATATATCAACTTGTTGCACTTATAATTTTTATGGGTGGATATGCAGTACACTTTATGTGTGTATGTATTTTACAGACATCACATAACCAAAAAACTTATTTGGTAATAAGAATTATGTTTAGGTTACGTTATCAAAAAAAAAAAAAAGGTATGTTGTTGATGTACCAACGGTGCATTTAATAAAAATCGTATTTATTAACATGCATCCAGGCAATAATAAAAATATATTTGCATTCGTAATACTTTAGTATAGTTTCGTAAAGACAACCTTAACGAAATATTGTTCTGAAAGTTGGCTATCCCTTAAGATTATTGAAGGTATATTGAATTTTAAATAAGTAGCAAATTTTATCGAATATTCTTCACAACAATAATTATAGTATACATACATACAACATAAATATTAGAAACAATATTCGTCAGTTTACTACGTTATTCACTTACACATATCAATAACGAGAAATAACTAAAAACCTATACAAAATAAAGAAACACCATAACCAATACAAAATATACTATAAACAGATATTGTTTTAAAATTACTCGAAATTAGAAACAAGTACTGACTATGAAATTCAAACATAAAAGAGGTTTCCATTGTTCTACTAATTTACGCTGGGTATTAATAAGCTAATAAGGCCATCTATATTTACTACAAGTGTGCTACAAGAAATGAATCTACATAAACTGAATGCATAAAACAAAAAAGGAAGCGAGCACCTTTATTAAATATACTCACAATTTAGGAAACTTCCATAGGATAATTCATCCCAGAAGAGACAAAAATTCATACATATTGATCGGTACCAACAATATTGTTATACAATAAAAAGCTGCTAAAGACGACGTTCGAGGACAGACGCAGGCGGTGTCGCGGCGTCGAAGATAACACGACAAGCTTCTAAACTTACACAACAAACAAGTGGACTACACACACAAAGAAATATCGTATTCACCCATACACTGCCCGAGGTCCTAAGCAAAGGGAACAGCGCTCGCGCAAACTTGGCTGCGCTTCACAAGTTTACTCAATGAGCCGCGCACACAATAATCACAGTCAAGAATGAACTTACTGAATCAAGATTTCACATTTAACTTAATTAACATAACTCTGTCAAAAACGGTTATTAACCAAATATCGTGCATTTTGGGAAAAGTCTACTATAAGCGTAGGTTCCTAATTAATCATGACATAACATTATGTCAATAAAATTTAAAGACGTTGATATTTATATTTACATAGACAGCATTCGATGTAACGTTCTCTGCCAATATATTTTGGTAGGTGCGTCATCTTTTTATAATGTGGTTGCGACAAGGCTACAGACAAGTTCGTTTATGATCAGCCTAATGACACTCACTTGTTTTAATTTATCGGTCTACCGCGTCATAGACTAAAATACTCGAACAATAATTTATCAATCTCATGCGCACTGCGCACATAACTCAGTTTTATTCTAAGAGACGACAATAGTAAATGGTAGCTATAGATAAATCAAGTAAACAAAGTATACAAATTCCTAAGCTAATGGTTCAATTAAGACATAAATAGACACAATTAATTTCAGTATATGCTCCTCCTTATCCAATAGAAAATTACGTACCTAATGTTACTGTATTCTTTAAACATATAGGATTCAGTAAACATTTCTTTAAATGTAGGCATCTACTAAATGCAACATTATACCTCTATATTAGAAAATATAAAATATTCAATAAAGGAAGCAATTGCAAGCGAGTGGTATATTGCGACTCCTCGCCTAAGGAGTGTAATAGCGTTTTTAGTCATAAATACAGGCGCGATAAGTATCGGCCGGGATGGTGCGGGGCGATGGGTGGTCGGCGCGAAATTCGGCAGAGCGCTGCCCTCTGGACCGGTTCTGAGAAGGCTCGGCGCGTCGACGGCGGCGGCGGCGGCTATTGTGTCTGCCCTCCGCCACACGCGCCGCTCCATTACCGTCTCTCCAGACCTCCCAACCTCCCCTCCGCGCTCAGCATCGCCAGTTCGCCACCTCACGCGTGCTATGCGGCTAATGATACAGTTATATCTCGGGCAATAACTGCATTACTCTCAATTTGAACAGGCATGTTAATGCATTAAAACGGTTTCGTCCATTTTACAAAGCCACTTTCTACATTTTGCCCTAAAAAGTAGATCGGTAATACAGCAAAAAATATAGTAATTATTACGTCAACTGATTTGACTGCGAATTAACGAGTCGACCGGTATTTATATTCGATGAGAAACGTTGAACCAAGCACGACTATAAAGTAAATATGCTTACGTAAATAATTTATTTTTAGAGATTAGAAACTATTATTTAATATAACAACATAAGGTTATTCCGAGAAAACGATCAACCGTCGTCATAGCAGGTGATCAAAAACCAACACGTTTTGAACGGCAAACAGACACAAACAGTGCCGCACCGCCGAAACGAGATGCTCTACAATAGACGTGAAGTATATCGACCGCCTAATCTCTCTTTCGTTAACGGCGCGCCATATTTCATTCTGGCAGGCATTGTCAATAAGAACCGAGGTCAGAGGCAAATAGGAGAAAAGAACGCCTCAACTTTTGTTTTCTTTTCCGAGCACTCAAACAAAATAAACTCCAGTAACAGTTGCTTGAACGCGCCGCCATTTAAAATTTAAATCCCCAAGTTTTTTGTATCCCATCTTTTCATTAATATATTACGTTGGACTCTAGCTGTCAGTTCTATTTTTTTTATTGAGTTTTGTACCTGAACGAAGTGTTGGTCGTTACACGGTGCAAGATTGTCTACCATCTTTATCTACCTATGAATACCTAATTAGATTTCGTAAAAAATATCATAACATTTTTAAAGCGATATCACTACTTATAACCAGCTCTAAAACGCGGAACTATTATTGTGAATTAAGATATTCTTTATATTCCTCTAGAATATCATTGGAAGCAGTCTAGTAGTTTTTTTGTAAAAGAGTAACAAATACCCATCTATCTGTTCTCACAAATTAGGTTAAAGCAATTTAAGTTTTATAGGAAAATCTTTAAATATCAGACCCTAAACAATTAACCTCTCTGCTATGCTGACAATGCTATTTTGTGCTTAAAAACAACGGTAAGTTTAGCATTTATATATTTTTACGATACATTGTATCCTTAAGGTAATAAAGACATTAACAAAAAGATAATTTTACGGGAAATCACGTAAAACACGTGAACAACACGTAAAAGAGCTAAAGAAAAATAACGAACATACTATTGATGAATTATTAGTATCACTGCGAACTGGAAACCTGTTTTTACATCCAGTTTATCTTATACCTGTGATTATACTGTCGGCGTAAACAATAAACGAATCGTTGCCGAATTGGATGGAGTGTTAAACGTGACGCCCTGCCCCGATTAATCATGTTTAAATGGTTCTCTCAACTAAGCAATTAGACAATGGCAATCTTAGAGGAAATTGACAATTGACCTCTTACTTGACATTTAAATTGAGTCTCTTCTGGCATGCAGTAAGCTTGCATGATCACTAATAAAATAAGCAACCTATAAGAATATTTGTATAGAACAATCGGTAAAATAAATATAATATAACTGGTTGACTCGATGTTCATATATTTATGAAAAGAAATTTATGACAATAAATTCACTTCTATTAAGAAAACATGCACTAATAGACCAAAATGAGGAAGTTCTCAGTTGAATTACAACTGTTTTTTTATACAATACTTTCTTTTTATTAATTTTACAATAAAAGCGATTTTGTCAGCACTAAACTTATTACGATGATATTACACAAAAGTAAACATTGTTAACATGAATTCAAACAATCAAATTACAAATTTCTATTTTTTGGAGTCGGTTGCAATGCACAAAACTAAAATCTATCCAGGAAATGTAATAAAAGCCTTTGAAACGCACCTTTTTATATCTCTGCCACGAGTGTCTACTTATTACAAATTCCCACGGCATCATTGACCCACTTTACAATTACATTATATTATTTAAGAATCCTCGTTAAAATTCACAACTTTGTTATTATTTTATTATATCACTCGTAAAGTGTATTACAACAATTCATTATATCATAAAGTAATCTGCGATTTCAAATAGCGTCATTTCATAAATTATTAAACTGAATTTGAACAAACCATGCTTTGATCACATCAACGAATACAAATTAATATTAGAATGACATAATAAAACTTATCCACTACTGCTGTATATTTCTAAATTGTTAGGCCCCTTTTATTATATAATTTATATAATTAAAGGATAAACTTATTTCCTAATTTTTTTATGTATTAAATAAGGTAACTTGAATACTTTATATTTAACTGAATATTATATCTTGCGAAAACCTGCTAATCAAATGTAATATAGTTTTTTTTATTAGTAGCAAAGGGACAACCAGCATAATTATCAAGATGTGAAGTGGAATATTATTTAGGTCTTTTGGTTAAGTTTCTTAATTTATCCTGGAATAAACAAGAGGTAGGTTAGGTCAAAGTCTTTCTTAAATTCTGTCTGGTTTATTTTAATAGATGGTGAAACCCTAGCCTAGAATAACAATAGCCTCGCGACTAGAATATGATCCGACCAATGCCATAGCAAACACAAGCGTCTAATTACACAATTTGTCTACTAATATAATTAACTACAACTTGTAATGTCAGATCAAATATGCTGATACAGCATTCAACAGATCCATCAATCTTTAGACAAATTTTCGATAAAATCTCATTGCATAAGTTATAACAAACGATGCAATACTAACAGTATTGTACTGGTCATATTATAGATATGAATTATATTTCTATGTCACAACAAAACCAGTCACAAGTGATAGAATGTATTTCTTCATGAATGTCTTTTAGGATCATTTTATTTGCAGTGTATTTTACCGAGCCTTTTTTTCACAACTAATGAAATATATACTATATAAAAAATAGCTTAGTACATACGTACATACCTATACATAAGATTGAGAAATAAGTTTCTTATTTTATGTATGGATAAAGTGCAGTATAATTAGGTGAGTCATTCAAGATTCTTCTATTAAGATTCATTTGCTCAGAAAAAATAAGATCGCTACAACTAGAACTAAGTAAATAAAATGCTTTTTTAATCTGTAAATATTTCTTGTTATCATTGCAATTAACAATAATTGGTAAGATGCATAATATTTAACGATATCATTTTCTGAGGGTTTCTACAGCAACAATTTAGATGCTCTATTATGAGAAATTGCGAAATAAGGAGTGCACTTAATAGTTTCAGACGATTTGTTATCGCTGATTACCAAAATAAATATAAAATGCCATTTTGAGTAAAGGATATCTGTTGGTACAGCTTTATACAACATTCATGTATTAGATTTATCATTATCATCAGATGTGCTCGAGCTGTTATTCAGTGATTGCTTAAAATTTAAAATCAATTTTAGTATTTCCATTCTCAATAATAATTTCTGATCTTCTGTAAGTTCTCTCATAGACGGGACAAGAGAACGAAAAAATGATTCGTCACCATCTTGCTCGTGATCGTACATTTTTAAATTCTGAACCGTTTGACTTCCCTCTTTAAGTAAAGTGACTGCTTCTGTGTCGTTAGTTAGACTACTTATTTGTTTTTGTTTTGAGGAGCTCGGTTCGGCTGCAGTTAACTTTTTTTTGCTCACATCAGCTATATTTTCTAAGGCCTCCTCATCAGTTTCATCAGATTCATATTTTTCCGGCTTGACTCTTTCTGAGAACGGCAACAAGAATAAAAGAGAATTAAAGTACAAATATTTTCTTTTCTTTGGTCCTGATTTTCCGGAAGGGGCATTTTTCTGAGCAGTAATTTCCCTTCTAAAACAATGCCTGAGAGAGGCCCACCTCTTTTGTACTTCTTTTCCTAAAAAAAAGGAAATCTTTGAGACAATTGAATACTTTCTAAGTTATTTTCATATCACGAGGAGTATTTGAGTAGAGCTTGCAATTTGTGGTTGGTAACTTTCAAAAGTACCTGAATGATAAAAAGAACTTGCTTAAAACCTTTTTACATTAAAATATGTGTGTAAAATAATATTCCCAACCTTGAATAATTATGAGAAATAATATTATAAATTGTTTTTATTTAATGAGACGCGTGCAATGTAAGCTCCCCGCTTCCGCTCGTCGCATCACTCGCTTCTTGTCACGTTCTCGTCATTCATTCACGCTCGTGGACCGAACTGAGGTCGTATTGAAACACTAGTTTATATTGCTTATTATTTTCCTACTGATATTTTTAGACAGTATAACATAAACATGCCTATACATACATAAGGAAATTAAATGATAAATCAAAACTCACCATATTTAATTTTGTCCTGAGCCGACAGTGAATCCCAATCGGACGAATAAACCACTTGGCATACTTCGTCCCACAATTTCTTTTTCAGTATTCGATCATGATATTCTTTTCTAAAAGTATCATAGATTGGCTTTCTCTTTCTAACCTCATTTATTAGCACGTTGACATCTATTTCAAAAGTCATAGTATGCAAGTATGTTCGTCACTATCGAGCGCTCAACGCGGACTAAAAGTACTCGGCGACTGCGCTGTGTGTGGCTATGACGCGGACTGAAGTCCGCCATATTGCTGCATTGATAATACGACTTTGTGCGGTATGGTCTGTCAATGTCCTCAGTAAACCTCAGTTATTTAGTGGGTCTTTTTGTACGCTCAACCAATACTTATAATCCCCCAAACATAGTAAGTTATGTCACGGACTCGTGTGCATTATTCTATGCTACACCTCGTATTTGTAATAATGCATTAGTAAAAATAAACGAACACCTTCTAGGAAATAGTAATCGATAAGTATGTGTTCAGTATGCATGCATTGAATGCATTTACTACGTATTTGTATCAGTTATATAATAACCAGAACACAAGCTCTGCATAGATTGTTGTGCCTTGGCAAGTACAAAATTAAACTTAATTTATTTAATGTAATGTATAAAATAAAATTAATAATATCTATAAATATAAGTGACTAATTATAGAAGGTACGTGTAACAATTACAATAAAAACTACATAAGAACATGATAGAAAAGGACATATGATTAATAGTGGAATAACATTCATATTATTTATATCAACATATAAATAATATTCTCCCTAACTATCTCCTGTAATCCCAGATGGGAGAGATAGAGGAATGTCAAATTCCGATGTTTGGACGCAATACTTGACAAGTTCAAATTTTGGTGAAAATATTTAAGTTTATTTGTTTCTACATTGAAGATAATAATAACATGTGCCTACAGACAGAGACGGTGCTGTTTGTGGACGTAGTGCAACGAACTATTTGGAGCAGAGCGACATTAATTTCCAAGAAGTCGCCTCGGACTGACGCCAGTTCCACCGAACTTCGTTATATCAGCTAATTAGAACAGATTATAACATCAGTTACAGTGACACTGCTGTATGGCAATCCAACGTAGAAATGTATTAGCTTTTCAAAATATACAAGACTAGCAACTTGCCTGAGATTCGCACGCTAGCAACTATTATATATTTTTTTTTAAATTATACCCATATTACTATTATTTTTTATGTAATTGGAATTGCACTAAAACTACCGGCCTACCTAAGAGCTAAGGATATGCTATTTAAAGTTACTATTCACTGTCATTATCGATTTTTCTGTAAATTTAATATATTTAATTATAAAAAGAACAGAATATTCCAAATTGAAAATATACCTAATATTTGGCATTCATAATACAAAAGGGTTTTCTAAAGACGTTTACTAGTAATACCAAGAAATAATTAAACGTTATTTGCTAAATTATTATCTAGCGTGGACCACTACCTCGTTATAACATGCAATGTTTAACAAAACGCTTTTAAATTAACTATAGGTGGACGGTAGGCAACCAGATAAAAGGAACCAAAGGCGGCGGCAAAGGGTAATTTCATGCGAGATAAAAGAGGCGTCTAAAGTTACCAATAGTGGGATGCTGGACGCAAATAACAGGTCAGGCGCCGCCGCACTGGTTCATTGCGAGCGTCTCGAGTGTGAACGAACAAGCCCTGTTTTAGGGTTGCCCATCACAATCACAATAGACCGGAGGTCATCCATATCGTAACCAGATCCGTATTGAGAAGGACTGTTGTCACTTAGAGATAATTAATTTTTGATCAAGAAATCAGTTTCTGTTTTATTTTTATTCCAAATTAGAATAGTTATATAAAGCTAGCAATAATTTAAATAATTCTTATCTACTTTGTATACAATACGATAATATTAAATTGTACGTCAACACAAGACACCTTTTGACACATTGCCGACGTCATTAGTATTTGTGTAGGCTTTGAAATACATCTTAAGATATTATATACTGCGCCTAAAAGAAAGCAATGAAGATAGATAGAAATCCGCTACTCGTTCACTTAAAAACTACCTAATTAATTCGTATGATATTTTATACATACACAATATTATAGATGAATATATAGAATACTTTATACCAGAATTGATACAGTACGGATAACGCCGCATGAACTAGTTGTAGGTAGTGATAATATCATTTATATTAGTGTACATATTGTATACAGATGCTCCGCAGTTGTAGAAACTCACAAAAGCTGTTCAGTAAGAACTAATTGTAGGCAGTATAAACAATAGCTTATGCTTGACTGACAGCCCTTCTTACATCCATTATATTGTACCTACAGACCCAATCAAATTAAGCGGCGGCTTCGTCAACAAAGGCGGACAATTTACGAGATATCGACGAGGCAGGCAAAACAAAATCATAAGAATTGCAAATTGGCAGGGGAAGTAGAGAGCAGACCCTGCAAATCAGTGGTTCCGTTATGTAAACCTGCCAGAGCATTCATTCAACGTTTTATACGATGTTGCCAGTGAATACCAATTTACAATATTCACCTGGTGTAACGTAATGCTAGTATTTAGTATGGCAAATAATAAATTATTCTTATAAGCTAGCACGATCAATATCGGCAATAAAAGATAGGTGAATAGAATTACCAATGATCCCTTAGTAACATTAAAAATTAATAATGTATAAATAATTAAGTATACTAATAACATATAAAATGTATTTTTAATACAAGTTGTTACTAAATTAAGGGCTTGGATGATACTGATGGAAATTCGTATCCCTTATGTTTTTCATTAAAAAATATCCTTTATAAAGACAAGACATTATGATCCTTTATTATCGTAATCATATCTAACAATAGCAGGTAATACAGATAATTTGGTAGCACATCATATACTGATTTTATTTAAATTGAGGCAGTGATAAATTAATTAATCTGTAATAAGTAGCGTGTTTGCATGTAGGTATAATATATGAAAAAATGTATAAAATAATAATTGTTGAAGCAGTACCGCACGCTATGCATATAAATTAGCAATAATGATTATCAATCACTGCGCTATTGTCCCGCAATCACTTAGAGATGCATTGGTAATTGTGAAAAATAATGGTATAGTGCGAATGATCACTAATTGTTTGGTAATCGGTATATTATTGTTAGTGGCGGACTGAGGCTAAAGCGGGGCCCTAGGCAAACATTGTTATTCCGGACCTATTTTTCAGTCATAATACACACTTTGCGTTTACCTAACCACGTGCCTAGGTTGCCTAGGCCCTAGTCCATACCTGGTTATTGTTATGAACATACATATAAATGAGTATTCTCGAAAACACCGTCACTAGTGATTATGGAAATAAATACTCAAAAACAAATAAATTTAGCATAAAAGGTAGAATACCTAAAACTGAATTACTAAAGTGTGATTAATGAATTCTGGCCAAATTTTTAGTTTCACTGATGCCAAAGTTAGATGAGAAGTTGAATAGGTAATCGCTAGTTTTTTATCTGGGATATTCGCCAAATAAATTTCTTAACTAAAACTAAATTCTAGACATGTGTTGGCAGATTTGAAGAGTATTATTGAATTTCCTAAATTAAATATACAGATTTACTTCCAACAAAAACAAACAATGGTTGCAGAAAAAATCCAAATGCATTATTTCGAAGCTGTGCAATTGAGCGAAGCCAGGGCGTGGTACTAGCTTTTTTTATGTAATTGGAAAAGAAGCGAAGACAAAGATCGTATGCCATTTTCAATTAACTTTTTAAATGTCAGACTGAAGTTGGGTACGTCAGTCTAATATTAAATTAAGGTTGAGTGACGACTTTTTACAAAGTGTACCTAGGTGATAATGTACCTGGTGTATGTGAGTATTAAATTATTAATCATAATTATTATGTATGATGAATAAAGCATGTTTCCCGTCATTCGTTTACTGAATATTGGAATAATAACTTCGAACAAAACATTGATATCATTATCCACCGGCAGGAAGAAAATTCCAAGAACACGAGTAGGTCTGTATACATACAATTCTCAGATCACTTTGTCCTTTGTCTTTGAAGTGCAAATAGTAAGTTACTAAACAATATTTGCATGTCATTGTCTGATATCACACTAATTACCTGAGGTTATCATTTTAAAATTTGAAAAAACATACGAGTCGGGAGTAAGAGCTAATGTAGTATCTTTTTTTAGATTGACTGATAATACAAGCGTAATCTTCTATATACAGGCTACAAATTATAATAGATACACCTCTGTACCTCATGTAGTTCATGAATTCATTCAAAAAAAAAAAACTATCCCACTTATATAGACTTACTAAACGGGAGCCAATTCTCTATTGTAATGATGGGAACTGTACTTTAATAAATTAATTCAATGTAAAACAGACTTCTTGACCATCATAACCTCGGACCTGTTGGCGCGCCATCGAAATTAGATAACTGTCAGGGTATACTTTCACTCATTGCCGGCTGATTTCACTTTCTCCCCACAGACGGCCCACTAATGATGAACATTTGATTCTTATGTAACAATAGGACATCGTATTCACTGCTATTGAAATCAAACCGGTCACATATCGGTTATTCACTGTTCCACTTTTCACGAGACTTCTCTGCGTTTTTATTTTACACTAGCTGTGCCCGCGGCTTTATCTGCGTGAAATTTATAGCCTATATGTTATTCTGATGTATAAGCTATATTAATATAAAGTTTCATTAAAATCCGATAAGTAGTTTTTCCGTGAAAGAGTAACAAACATCCATACTCACAAAGTTTCGCGTTTATAAAAATACATACTCACGACTGTAATATAAAATGGGGTAATTGGAGGCATAGGTAACTCCCGACATTGTGGGGAATGCAACAATTGATATACATGGTCTTATTTGGATGAAAATATTTGAATTAACATGGCATGGGCAAATGTTCGATTATACGAATAAATAGTTTGTAGTCCATCACCAGAGATAAATAACGATATTATAACGACTCTCTCTTTTATTTTAAAATATTCGATTATATCACAATTGATCAATTATTATATTATATGGAATATTATATAATGATTTAGAAGGAAACTTTATAAGTACTCGTCCACATATATTCCTCTTTCTCCTTTATACAAAGAAGCCATTTAGAAGATACTAGCTGTTATCCGTGACGTTTCATACTTCTAGATTGTTTTTTGAGACAATGATAGG